TGCCCGGCTTTATGCCTGTCTGCTTCTAGTAAGTTTAGACAGAATACTGACAGCTATTCCTTAGGCAGCTTGTCAACCATGTCAGCCAGTAGCTACATGTATTTGGGAGAACCTCTGGGTCCAATAGTATGCAGTCAAAGAGATGGAATGGATAGATTGGTCCTTTTCAGACTTTAGCATGGGTATGTGTAATGGCTACTCCTGGTTGTCAACTTGACTATATCTGGAATGAACTACAATCCAGAATTGGAGGGCTCACCTGTGACCCTGATCTTGAGTCTGGGAGACACAAGTTTCTGACTTGGATCTTAGCATTGAGATCTTGAGGTATAGTGGCTATAAAAAGCTTAGGCCCAGTCAAGGTAGTACACGCCTTTAATCCCAGAAGACTAAGGCAAGGAGCCGGGCAGTGGTGGCGCACACCTTTAATCCCAGCACTTGGGAGGCAGAGGCAGGCAGATTTCTGAGTTCGAGGCCAGCCTGGTCTACAGAGTGAGTTCCAGAACAGCCAGGGCTATACAGAAAAACCCTGTCTGGAAAACATCAAACAAACAAAGACTAAGGCAAGGAAATCTCTGAGTTCAAGGTCAGAAGGTCAGCCTGGAACAAAGCAAGTCCCAGATCCAGGCATAATGGCACACACCTTTAATCTGGGCCACACCTTCTGATTGCAATTATTTGCCGGCACATCTGTTGGACTCTACTTCTATGGAAGACCAGCTGAAACAACTAGCCTTGTGAGCTAGTTGATCAACTACTAGATCCTTGGACTTCCCATTCACAGCTGACCATTGTTGGGGAATTGAACTGCAGACTATAAGTCATAATAACAAATTCTCTGACTATACAGAGACAATCTATAAGTTCTGTGACTCTAGAGAACCCTGACTAATACAGAAGTTGGTACCAAAAGTGGGGTATTCCTGTGACAACGTGACCGTGTTTTGGGGAGGACTGTGGAAGGACTTTGGAACTTCGGGCTAGAAGAGCCATTAGTTGTTAAGAGCTCTGTGGAATGTTCTGTAGGAGCTTGGAAGATAATTTTGAGAACAGTGAAAATGATGGAGGCCTGGCTTGTGAAATTTCAGAGGGAAGATTAAAGACTTTTATCAGGACTTTGCTGTTTTGCTTGTGAAGATTCTGTGGTTTTGGTTAGCTGGGGCTGAAGAACCAGCTGTGATTAACAACAGACCACAACTACTAAAGGGAAACTTTGCGTTACTGGGACTATTGATGCTGGTTAGCTGGAGCTAAGACATTAGTGATGACTAAGAAGAGACCAGCATCATTGAGGTGAAATCTTCTGGGAAGTGTTTTCTTTTTCTGTTTGTTTGTTTGGTTGGTTGGTTGGTTTGGTTTTCAAGACAGGGTTTCTCTGTATAGCCCTAGCTGTCCTGGAACTCACTCACTCTGTAGACCAGGCTGGCCTCGAACTCAGAAGTCCACCTGCCTCAGCCTCCCAAATGCTGGGATTAAAGATGTGTGCCACCACCGCCCGGCCTAGGAAGTGTTTTCTGATAGCACAAAGAGACTGTGTTCCAGAGATAGCCAATGTTGTACCTCGTGCTGCAGCTGGACTTGGTAATGTATAAGAATCACCCAGGTGGTACTGGTTTTAAAGACATTAAGGGGTCATGAAGAGCAGCTGAGGCTTGGCACTGTGAGAGGCCATAGAAGGCCTTTGGTGAAAGTGCAGCCTCAGTTGCAATTGATAGCCCAGGACTGAAGGGGTCATGCAAAGGATTTGAGGCTTGGCACCATGAAGAGAGCCTATGAGAGGCTGCTGGTGAAGCCTAGTTGCAGTGGAGATGCCAATACCATGAGATGACTACCAAGAACAGCAGCAGCAGTGGAGTACAGGCAGCTGGAGCCTAGAAGACAAAGTGTGTGCTACAAAGGGCAGAGTTGGAGAAGCCCAAGCCCTTGAAGGAGCCCAGAAGTTCATGAGTTTTATCCCAGAGTTTGGACAGTTAGAGTTTGACGTTGCTTTTGATTGTGACTGTGCCCTGATATTTTTCCCTCTTGAAGGAAGAAAGTATTTTAATGGAGTCCACAGTTAAGAGACTTTTAATTATAAAAAGACTTTGATTTTTAAAAGTGATTGGATATTTTAAAGCGATTGAAATTTTAATATGTAAGAATTTGTAAAGACTGGGGGACTTTTACATTTACTTAGATCTTGGGGATGAATAAGAAAGTAAGGGTTGAGGCTTAATAGTGATGTGTTTGTGTGTAAAGTTGACAAGGGGTCAATTGTACTGGCTGGTTTTGTGTGTCAACTTGACACAAGCTGGAGTTATCACAGAGAAAGGAGCCTCCCTTGAGGAAATGCCTCCATGAGATCCAGATGTAAGGCATTTTCTCAATGAGTGTTCAAGGGAGGAGGGTGCATTGTGGGTGGTGCCATCCCTATGCTGGTAGTCCTGGGTTCTATAAGCAAGCAAGCTGAGCAAGCCAGGGGAAGCAAGACAGTAAGTAACATCCTTCCATGGCCTCTGCATCAGCTCCTGCTTCCTGACCTGCTTGAGTTCCAGTCCTGACTTGCTTTGGTGATCAAAGCAATGTGAATGTGTAAGCTGAATAAATCCTTTTCCCCTCAACTTGCTTCTTGGCCATCATGTTTTGTGCAGGAATAGAAACCCTGACTAAGACAGTATGAATCACCTGAAGAGACTCTTGGGAAAATGTAAGCTCTTGACTCATTCCAAATGGGCTTTCATGGGCCCTGTGTTTCCGACAAGGTCCTAGGTGGTGTTGATGTTGTTTGTCCTCTGACTTTCCTCCATCATGCTGGGGCGTGTGAGCCACGTTGCATCTGCAGTCAGAAGAGTGGACAGGAAGTGGGACAAGGCTGTAAAGCTTCAGCACTGCCCCAGTGACCCATTTCCTCCAGTAAGGCTTCACCTCCTAAAAGCTCCACAGCCTTCCCCAACAGTGCCCCCAGCTGGAGACCAGCTATCTCACATTCAAACCAGTCCCAGTGGGAAGGAGGGAGTATGGTGCATCCACGTGAAGATAATTTTATTTCAGAAGGCAAACTCCATGTGGCAGGCCTGTGGTTGTGAACTGCCATCTCTTGAGGGCAATAACTGAACAAAGGAGCAGAGGAAGAGGCAGCTTTCCTGTCTGCATTGATGTAAGGCTGATTTTGAATGTGGTTAAGTCATAATGAATGAGGCATCATGGCACCTTCAGCAAAAAACAGTTCTGTAACTATTCAGGTATATTCTCTGAGTACCAAAGTTGGCTATTATTCTATAGTATTTTAGCTCAGTGTGAATTTTTATTATTCATAGTTACTTCAGATCTTGCTTTAACAGTGGTTCTCTCTATTTGTCTCCACACCTGTGTTGGTAAGAATTAGTAGGACTTTTTGTTGGGCACCACATTCTCTGGTTTAGACACCAGATGCCAGACTCCTTGATTATGGTAATTAAGATAATTGCATATTTCTAATTATCATTGCTCAAAATCTGTAGATGTGATGGTTCAACTTTTGTCTTCAGGGATCCTCGAGCCACTGTAGCCTCCCACCTTTGTGAAGTGCTTCCTGGTCTCAAAGTAACTTTTTCTATTCACTAATAAATATAATATAAATCTGATTTAAAACCCTGCAGGAGAAGGAGACAGCAGTGTGTGTTTGTCTGTGTCTATGTATCCCTGCATACAAGTGTGTTTATGCAGAGTGCAACCCTAGGCACCATCCACGTTGTGTATTTTTAGTTTTTGAGACAACTTTTTACTTGGCCCTGCACTCCGCAGTACTCACTGTTAGGCTGTACTGGCTGGCCACTTAGACCCAGAGCAACACTTACAAGTGTGAACCACCTCTGTGTCTGGCTTTTGTTAAATATGGGTTCTGGGGATTGAACTTAGATCTTCAGGCTTGTTGATTTATTTCGTTTAAAGTAGATCTTACATCTTTTCATCTGATGTTGCTAGAATTTGGTGCTAGAGTTCAGGGATGCAACGGTGTGTCTGTCACCACGCTTTCATAGCGAGAATGAGAAATACTTGTGAAACGGAACACGTCACTGCCATTCAAAACAAAGGAAAGCATGAAAGATGTCTTCTGTGCCGTGTGAACAACAGATGCTCCCAGTGAGCATATTCCATACATTGGGAATGGTGTCCTAGGTGTCACCAGCAGGATGTCATACTGTTCCCTCTCTAACAGGACCATCAGTGTTCAGTGCTGACTCAGCAGTGTGGCACTGGCACTCTGCTTCCCACTTGAGGAGCACTTGTAAGTTAAGCAAGCCTTTGGTAAGAAAGCAATGGAAATGGGGACAGCTGAATTGATGAATGGTCAAAGTGTTTGGATTTGGTGCCTTTGAGATTTACTCTGTGCTTCAGTGGGGGAGATTTTCATACAACAAAATTGTTTTCAAAATGAAAATATCTCATGTTTAATTAATGCCTGAGTAGTCTCTGAACAACAAACTGTCCTTGTCAAAACAGGTTTTCCTCCTTCAGTAGCAGAGTATTCCTATTTTACTGGGAATTCGTCTTGTTTATTCATGGGGAAAGTATTTCAAATAATAACCTTTTAGCTAATTTCCCAAAGCAATGACATTCTTATCCTTTGAGGCACTATGCTGGTTGATTTTTTGTCATCCTGACACAGGTTCAGGTCATCTGGGAAGAAGAAACCTCAATTGAGAAAATTTCTCCATCAGTAGAGCATTGTCTTCACTAATGATTGATATAAGAGGGCCCAGCCCACTCTGGGCAGTGCCACCCCTGGGTAGGTGGTCCTGGGTTATATAAGAGAGCTAACTGAACAAGCCAGCAAACAGGGTTCCTCTGTGGCCTCTGCTTCAGTTCTTTTCTTTCCTTGAGTTCCTACCCTTATTTCCCTTCATGACGGACTGTGATTGGAATGTGTAAGCCAAACAACTCTTTTCCTACCCAAGCTGTTTTTGTTTACAGTGTTTATCACTGTGGTAGAGAATATTCAGTGTATCTCATGATTACTAATAGCTGTTTTTCTTACACAGATCCAGTGTCCCGCTTGCCAATTCATCTGGTGTTTTAAGTGCCACTCTCCTTGGCATGAAGGTGTTAACTGCAAGGAGTACAAAAAAGGAGACAAGCTACTGCGTCACTGGGCCAGTGAGATTGAGCATGGGCAGAGAAATGCCCAGAAGTGTCCAAAGTGCAAGGTGAGATAAACCTTAGCAGGAAGGGAATGACACCTGCATTTAAAGAGACAGTATCCACAGCATGGAGTGTAGCATGTTCATAATTGTCTAATCAGGTGTGAGGAGACTTTGCCATATCATTCTTAAAGAATAATTGTACTGCATGTCAAATAAACATATGTGCACATAAATAGTGTCTATTGTTGTTGTTAGCATCAATTGCAGTCTGACATTTTTATCTTAAGATTTAAGTTATGTGTGTGTTTGAATAGTATTTGTATTATCTTTCAACAAGTTTACTTTTAGGCAACCATATTGGGTCTAATTTTCTTTAAGAATAATTTTGCAGTTGCTTCCTTGAGACCTAGCACTAGATAAATGAAATTTAAGTTATTATAAAAAATTTATAGTGGTGAATCCAACTTGTAGCAAAAGCATTTTATAAACTAATGTATTATTGAGTGTGTAATGTTTTTCTGTGCCAAATTCACATCCTATCTTATACATATAGATAGTAAATAGTATAGTGTGTCATTTATGCTGTATACTTAGTGACAAGAAGAACTCTTTGGGAGAAGCTCTTTCTGTGTTACTCAGGCTGAACTAGAACTCCTGGGTTCAAGTGATCACCTGTCTCAGCCTCCTCAGTAGCTGGACCTCCATCCAGAGCAGCTTGACTTAATTCTTGAGATTGGTACATAGTGATTTAAGGGTTACTTACTTTTCTCTTCCCTGTAGAACAGAGCCCACTTCAGTCTTTATCTGTGTGCTGAACCAATGGCTCTGTGAACATTAGTTTAATCCCACTGTAGAGCAGGTCTAAGATGAGGGGGTTCCTGCCTAGCACTCCATTCAGAGGACTTCTCAGTTTCAAACCCAGTCCAGGCCAGTAGGTCCCGAGGAGCTACTCACTCGTTCTTCTGAACTCTTTCCTCAGGAGTCTACTTCGCATCTCTAAATAGTGATAAAAACAATTTCTATTTAGTCTGGCTCTCAAACTACTCTTAACAAATGGCCATGCGACATGCAGTGTAGGATCTCTAAATAAACAGAGACAGTGCAGAAAATTACACATTTATGCCATCCATATCCTAACCTAACATTAAATGGAAAGACGGAGGAAAAGGCAGCTGGGTACTCACTGAGGGCTCTAACACCGTCTGCAGTTTCCACAATACAGATAAATAGCTAAGAGACAGTGAGAAGGAAGGGCTGTGTCCAGTAGAGCAGGTAAAGAGACTTTCAAAAGAATTGTCCTTTAAACAGCCCAAAGGAAGGAGCCATGGAGCCACCCACATGACGCCCTGAAAACAACCATAAAGCATAGGTCAGTGTAAGTCACTTTTTATGGCTTGTTTTGACTGCAAACATATTCTCTCCACCCCTGCTTTAAAGCATGATTTTAAAGCTCTATATTTTCTGATTGTTTTCACTTTTTTTCTTTTTTCTTTTTTTTTTTTTTTTTTTGGTCTTTGAAATCATGCCCTGCTTTTTCCTCCAAAGAAACCTTTGCTTCTACTAGGAGTTAAGGAGACAGATTTAGTGAGTTAATATCTTATACTCTAAGAGCCACATTTTATAAAACACCCATTAAAATTTACAAATATGAAAAATAAAGATGAAAGAGGTTTTTTCAAAGAGTTTTCATATACAATGCTTCCAAATGAACAATTTATTTTCATGTAAATAGCCTCAATATTTGTAAAAAAAAAATGTATTTGAGTTTTGTTTTGACCAAACTTACTTACTTATTTTTTTGCTTTTTTTTTTTTTTTAAGACCAGGCTGGCCTCGAACTCAGAAATCCACCTGCCTCTGCCTCCCAAGTGCTGGGATTAAAGGCGTGTGCCACCACTGCCCAGCTATTTTTGCATTCTGTTGTTGTGTTTTAAGTCAATTTTATAATATTAATAGTAATTTGTATTTTTAAGTGTTTGTTTCTAAGAAATTTGGGTTGAGAGGGAAAGTGCCCACCCAACACTCAACAGCACCACCACATCCACTGGGTCGCCACAGCCCATGCCCTTCTGAAAGCACTTTTATGATGGTCATTAGTTTCCTATGTAACCACTCAGACATTTCCAATGTCAGTAAACATTTCTATTAGCTGTGTCATCTCTGCTTAAGTATCCTTTCCCTGGTGTTTGGTTTTGTTTACTGCAGTACAAATACGACGTGAGTAATATGTACCATGGATATGTCTTCTTTCCTATTTTGATCCACCATTGTGAAGGTAGAGCTACTGAGTGCAGGGTCAGTGTTTTCCATATTTGGTGGATAATGTCAGATTACTAAATTCTAAAAGTGGTGAAACAGCTTACTTCCCAGAAAAGTCTGCAAATTTGTGGTCAGCTTTTCTTTCCTATTAAGAGGTCAAGTATACTGTTACTCATTTGCTAATTTAGTGATTGTGACTTACGTCCTCATATTATTTCCTTAATTGCTTATAGGCTGAATATATATTCACATTCTTTGGCAATTGTCATGAACTCTTAAATTTTCTGTTTGTATTCTTTGGCCATTTGAGTGGACTAGGTTGAGGCTTGCTTGTTTGCATTAAATTCTGTGAACTCTGTATTTCAAACTTTTAATTCCTTTTATAGAATATTTTCTCTGCTTACTGTTTCTTTTTTCTTTTGCTTAATTGATTTACACATATTTTTAAAAGTTTTATTTGTCTGAGTATATCATTGTCTTTTTAGGTACATAGAAGCACACTCAAATAACATGCACACATATATTTTATATACTTACACATTTTCCATATGCATTTGCTTCTAAGCTTAAAAAGTCACTTATCATCCTTGATGTAAAGTTTAATACAAGTGCCTATTTTCTTTCCTTCCTTTTACCTTTTGATATGTCAATATTTTAACTAATCATCATTTATTTAGTGTTTATTATGAATTAGATACTTCAAATGATTTTTCTCCAATTGAATCATCTTGGGTTGACTGTATTTGTTAAATAATTCTGTCCCACCAATTAATTTGTAAATCTTGCTGAGCAAATTTTACCTTTATAATACATAAGACTATCTTTGCTGGGATCTCCTATCTTGTGGCTAAGTTGTTCCGACAAATTCTATAATAAAACTGGGGAGTTCCAATGACTATGCCTGAGTGAAATGCATTGTTCAAGCAGCATCAGAATGTGGCTGTCCCTGTGTGAGCCTTGTGTGAGCCTTTTGTGAACCCTGTGTGAACCCTGTGTGAAGTGCTTTAAATACAGCAGGTTTTTCCACTTCTTCACTTAGCAAAAGCTCCTCTCCCATGGTGAGACACCAAGTGGAAAGCACAGTTTCATACATGGCATGGTACCATGAGACAATTTGACTTATGAAAACAAATCAAAATTAGTACTTATGATTGACTTTTGGGGCCAGCAAGATGACTCAGTAAGTTAAGGTCACTTGCCATCAAATCTGTCAACCTGAGCTCAATATCAAAACTTGCGGTGAAAGGAGAGGTCCAACTCCTCGGTCTTGTGGTACAGCCTCCACAGATATACTGTGGTATGCTTGTAGACACTGCATGCGTACACACGTGTACACAGTTACCAAGGAGTAGAATATACTGAAGCGTATAAGTGAATGTAACAGATAGTACATATTACATAGTGTTGGAAGCTCTTTCCTCTCATTTATGATCAAGATGTTTACTCATAAGTAAAATTGTTTTGTTCTGAGGTAAACATACAAAAACAATTCTAGAGGTTAGTCATTATTATTTTCATGAGACTGTAATAATATCTTATTAAGAGTGAATTTGCTTAACTATTTTGATGAATGTCATTACCTCTTTTTAATTAATATATTAATATTAATCTATACACACACATATACTCACACACATATACACACATACATATACATTAATCTATACACACACATATACTCACACACACACATATGCATACATACAAATACAAGCAGGAGCTCACAGACTTCAGAGAGGGCATCAGATACCCTGGAACTAGAGTTTTACAGTTAAAGGTGGTTGTGAGCCACAGTTTGGGCACTGGGAATCGAACCTGGGTCCTCTTCAAGAGCAGTAAGTGCTCTTAACTACTGAGCCACCTTTCTAGCAACATCATTACCTTTTTTCTTTCTTTGTCTTTTTTCTCTTCTCTTCTTCCTCCTCTCTTCTTCCTTTCTTCTTTCTTCCTCTTTTTTTTTCCTTAAGTGACAGTATTTTCACCAAGTTGCTCCTGGGTGGTCCAAATCTTGGTTGTAGAACAGGCTAACATGAAACTCGCAGACCTCTACCTGCTAATGTCTCCCTGCCTTCTGAGTGCTCCACAACTGACTTCCCATCTCTACTTTTTAATGCAGAGTTTTATTTAGTAAATTATGATGCAGCATTCTTATAAAAACAAATTTTCTGTTTGTCTAATTTTTGACTCCAAAGAAAACATAAGCTTATTATGTCAGATTCCCCTTCAGCTTAATCACAACACAATAAAACATAGTTCATGATAAACTGACTTTTACATTAAATTTAACACAAGTAAAGAAATTAAATTGTATTGTGTAAGGGGGTATGGGGGGGTACGTTTCAATGCCATGCCTAAAAGTTCATCTTGACAGTATATATAAGATTCTAAAGTGAGTTAAGATTTGATAAATTAAATCAAATTAAAGTTGAGATGCATACTTATAAATGATAAACACATGTCAATAATATAAAGTTAAGTCAACATCACGGTCGTTAGAAGTTTCACAGCCACGTGCTCTTTAGCCTTAAGCCTTCAGTGAAGTTAGCAGCTGCTGGTGAGTGTTTAGGTTTGGAAACAAGGCATTTGATCCTATATCCTTTAAGGATTCAGAATGTCTCTGTGTTTGTTTGCCTGCTTTTTGTGTTTCCTTCTTTGGGTGAAGGGCAAGTTTTTTTCAGAATTCAGAGCTTACTAAACCAAAGTTGAGTTACTTCCAAAAGTCTTAGGGAATCTTTTTTGGTGGTGCATGCTGGGGGCGGGAGCTAAAAGGGAATTATGGAACCTCCTCCTCCCAAGTTACTTTCT